GGAAGAGTGGTGGTGTAAGACCCTTTGTCCAGGGTGGGACACACACAGGTCGCCGCGTTCGGCGCTTTTTCAAGACACCCCCTACCGTTGAACCAGTGGACGAAACCTTTTTGCCCAGGGGTGGACACACACACACACAGAGCCGTTTTCGGCGCGGTCAAAGTAGTAGTAAGGCCAGGGGCCTCCAGTAGCGTCCTAACTCCCAGAGGAACATTTGTACAAAAAGCGCCAAATTGTTGGCGCAACGAAGAACTAGTAGACACCTAAAAAGCCTTAGAAAGACAGAAAAAGCAACGAAACAAGAGCAGACTAAGAGGGCAAGAAAGAAGAGTAGGGTAGTTACGAGGCCCACTTAGTTAAACGAAAGTAGAAGGCGAGCGGGACATTCGTCTTAAACCGCCCGGGTAGCTAGCAATAGCTAGGAGAAACAGAAGGAAAGGCACCAACACACAAGTGTGTTGAGTGCGATTTCCTTCTGTTTCCCAGTAGCGGGTGGGATAGCAACGGAGGCCTGGGGGGGGGGGTGTGCATGATGAATTCATCCGGCCTGTGAATACTTAGCAGCGCAAGCATGTGAATACTTAGCCGTCAAAAGTGCTCAGGCTAGCGAGTTGACATGACTCCGAAATCTGAAAACTGAAAGTTGGAAACCGAAGAATTCTTCAAGAACCGTTTTTTGGCCCGGCGGCCTGTGTGGCAGTTGATTCTGTGAGGGTGTCGGTGCCTTCCTGTGAGAGTCCAGTGAGCGGTGGTGCGTTGGGGTGGTTGCTTTCCCATGCAAGAACGGCGCCCCTGTGACGGGGATCACACTCAGCACCCGAGTGGGACGGCTGAGCAGGACACACTTCGAACTTGGGTTTTCAGTTAACGCAATTGTCTTCGAACTTTGGGTTTTCAGTTAACGCAATTGTCTCAATGGGAAGGAAGGCGATGGAACGGCATGGTGAAGAGTCCGAAAGACTTGTAGGTGTTTCAACAAGTTGTTGGTCAAGTCTGCTGAGACGAGTGGCGCGCTGCGAGTCGGCTGCAAAACTAGGCTGCAAAAAATCCACGAGGTTTGGAGGAGGAAACGTGAAGGACCATGGAAACAAACCAATCAAATTGGACAGCTTGCTCAAAAGTTCATTTGGCAGGTACGTGACTCCAGCGTCCCGGAGTCATTTCACAATCTCAAACCACCGTCTTCGTTGGGCAGTGGGTGGAATGAGATTCACTGCCCCCCTGCCTGTGGAAAATGGGAAGAGTGGTGGTGTAAGACCCTTTGTCCAGGGTGGGACACACACACACACACTCAACATCCAAAATGACACACAGAAAACATTTCGCCGATCAGTACTTTCTTCGGCCAACTCCATCCCATGGCCCTACTGGTCACTTTGTTGGCTGGCGCCCTGGCTGCGCCGAATGCTCCAGCCACGACGGCAACGACGGTGTGCTCCGATGGAGGCAAAGAACTCGGTTTCTCCGCGTTGGAAGAGCTGTGCTCTTTACATGGCATGTACCATCATATGCCATTTGATGTAGTGAAAAACCATACAACACAAAACACATCATGTTGCATGAACATGTCATTTTGGGGGGTCCGAGTCCATTTCAAGTCTTTTTGTCGCACTCCGTCACAAACATCCCTGCCGAACACTGCGAATCGAGGTGGACTTCTCACTTTGCACCCGTGTGCGCAAGCGAATTCTCCCCTGGAATGTCCCTGGACTCACCGAATGAACAACTCCCGTTCTGTGTCACTTGGATCCCGGATTTTGTTGTGAAAGGAAACTGGGAACGTGTCCTGAAACACATCAAAGTTTCCAGATCTTCCTTTGGCTATACCAGGTCCATCCTGTCTGGTGTCCAACGGACTATACCCTACACTACTTCGAGATGTCCAGGCAGAACACCCAGACAGGATGGTCCAGGTGATATTTTTGGCTCACGCAACCGTGCTCCCATCCCTTCGCACCAATTCGCAGCTATCGCGCGAGCGATCTCATTTGACAGTGACGATGTGGACAGCTTCTCTCTCGTGAGCCTTTGACGGGTGTGTATTCTGGTTCCCGATCATTTGGGTTTCCTGCCAGTGGGTGGATTGCTATGGACGGCTGTGGAGTCCAAATACGAAATCCCCGCTGGCTAGACTGGTCTGTCCGAACCGAACCCAGGGGGTAACGGAAGACCCAGGGGATCGGTGGCACAACAAAAGACAAGGAGAAACCACAACCAAAAAATGGTCCGAAAGCGTTGGCAACGCGAGGATCGTAGGGTCTTGTGCAGAAACCTGAAAAGGCATTTGGAGCATTTCAGACGTTCTTTGTAATATATATATATATATATGAGAGAGAGAGAGACAAATCGCGCATGCTGTTCGTTTCCTGTATTTGGCTGTCACATCCCAAATCATGGCTCCACAGGTGGCTCCACTGCGGAGGTGAATGCCCCCCCTCAACCCATATCTTGCGAATGACTCTCCAGTTTCCACCTCGCAGGTATTTGCGGAAACGAGCCGACCGAAACGCGATGCCCCGGTGCGCAGGAGAGTGCGAAAAGCCTTTGGGTTCCTACCTTCTCCAAACCCATGCGGCCCAGCAGCCACCGCAGCCCTCTGACCCGGAGATGACGGTGGACATGAACGGCCGGCAGTGCCATTTGTGCAGCATGCCCTTGCCGGAACGTTCAGATCGAAGATATTTGCAAAGGACAGACTGCGGAAATCAGAGTGTCTTCGAGCACCCTGAGAACAATAGGAAGCCTTTGATCAGCTTTAGTCGTCAAGGAAGCAATGCGTACTGCGAATTGAACATTCAAAAGTGGTGTGCTGATGCGATGCTTGGTGGGGTGTTTAGAAGTGATTTGACATAATCATCCGATGCAGAACGACATGAGCTGAGTGATGAACCCCAATTGGGGTCAAACAAAAATGAGCAGCAAGCCAATAAGCAATGCAAAAGATGGTTGCATTTACCTTATTGTAAGAAGCCTCACGTTACCAGACTCTCTGGAGCATCCCCATCCAATCCTCTGGTTAGGAGTCGGAGCCTGCCTGCATTTTTTTGGTGAGTTTTGGGAGACAATTAGAAGATGCTTGGGCAATCTTGGGCACGAAATGCTTTCTTGGCCGAAGAAAGATCCTCTTCAACCTGGACGTTGTTGGGATGTCGAACGAAAGCGGTTGTGCACGACTCCTTGAGGAGGAACCTTCAACATAAAACATCCATGTCACTTGAGCAAATCTGCAGTCAGTTGAGGAGGTCTTCCGATCGGTCGCTGCCGACAGTCACGCTGCTGCTTGTTGATGATCAAAGCTGTGCCCGGAGCCCATTCGACTGGTGATCAATGAACCTGATGATCCATCTTCAGATCGACAAAGACCCTGCAAGACAACCCCTTCACAGATAGTTTCATGTCCGTCCCACAGGACTCTTTCAAGCATCTCCTTCCCGATCTGAAAAATCCTGATGTCAAAAGATTGAAAAAAAAACTGTGATGCCGTAACATTCATTTGCGGCTTGTCCAATCTGCAGATGAATTGGAACTATGCCAGGCTGTTTGAACAATCCCGAAGCCTTCACGGACTTGAACCGGTGTGTATGTATATATATATAGTATACCTTGGACTCATTGGTTTTATGCGGAAGTTTCTTTTGTTATCTTTAAGCGTGGGGGGTGCAGGGCACAGTGGAAACTGCACTCAACGAAGCTAAACACTTGTGCTTTCCAGCAGGCCTGATCAGCTGTGTGTGCCTGCTCTGTTCTGAATTCGCTTCCGTGGTAGCTAGAAGAAGATGTTCTTCGTCTTGCATCTGTCGCGCGGTGCCTTGCACTTGGAAACTCCAGACGTCTCAGTCCGGATTGGTGAGAACTCCCCCAGACCCTCAACAGGTTCGGGTCCAGACATCGCGGGTTCTTTAGTTTCAGGGCGTTACTAACGGTGGTCGCAAGTACGTTTAATCTCGATTTGTTTTGTTGAGTAGAATTACTGAGAAAGGTCCTTGGCAAAGACTGTAGCGAGCCACACTGGCTTGGTCAGAGAGTTTTGTGGCAGATCTTGGAAGACTGAGGATCTACAACCGCGACTTCCTATTCCAGGCCAAAGCCGTTGATGCCCGGACTGAACGGGGCCATCAAAACAGCTACAACGCGGCATACTGCGATCTGAATGGGTGGCTCACGGTGGAAATCAAGGCGTTGCAGCATGACTTTGAAGGAATGAAGAAGAAGGCCGAAGAGTACTGCCAAGCACAGAAAAATCATTGGAATACCACCATGACCCAAGAGGATGTGGAAGCAGTGTTCTGACTTGGGATTTGTAAAGTCTTTGGTCTTTGGGTTGTGTTCCATTTTTCATGTTTTTGTTTCAGTGTAGTGGCGGCAGGATTCTGTCAAGTGAGACAGATTCAGAATAGCCAGGGCGCAGGTCGACCCTTGCAACATCTTCCAACTAATCAGTGAGAGATGTGAGACCGTTTGTAAATTGCACCTGGAAACAGGGGTTCTATTCCTGGGCTGCACCTGGATGGTCAGTAGCAACCCTAATATTAGGCCCTATAGTTCCTGTCACAGCCAGTCTGTAATATGGGTTTGTATTTTGACAGGGAGACCCCCCGGCCGGCCCAATGGCTTTTGGTCTATTTTTTCCTTTTCCAGGGGTCGGAGGTCAGGTCTCCCTACTTTCATATAAACCCAATATATAATATATGTATATAATTTGATATGGCCGATTCTTTTGGACACGGCGGGCCAAATACCTGGCCCAAGCCCCGGCCGGGCCCTGGTCTCACGAGGTCTATCGCTCGTCGCAGCACTTTGCGCGCACGGGACGGCCCAGCGTGCGTGAAGCGGAGTTCATCGGCAGCTGGACTTGTGCCATGGGCTCCGCTGGCTGTGATATGGCCTACTGCGCCTACAGTTTCTGTTGCTGGGATGATTTGTTGGGGGGAAGCGAACTTGTGGGTTGGTTGTTCTCAATGTCTGTACTGTATGGGGAAAGGGTCCAATCAAGAGCCAACATAGTGGGACTATGTGGGACTCTTGTTTTCGAAGAGAAATGTCAGTGACGCTTCACCAGTGTGGGGTGTATTGGTCAGAGGACTGCATGAACTGAATCAGATCCCGTTAGCCAATGTTATCCTATTTGCCACTGGCCGCTTGCCAGCTTCCCAATAGAATCACTTCGGACTTTGGCCATTTGGTTGCCAATGTCCGATGTCCGTTTTCTCGTTGGTAGTTCATGGGCTGTCTTCCTCTGTCGCGGTGGTGCACAGCATGGATGACATGTCATTTCCTTTAGAATCCTCTAGACTCCCTGGAACACTGTTTGGTATGAGAATGGGCATCCGAGTCTTCCGGGGGCCATGGCCATTTTCCCCATCCAACGGAACGGGCCCACGGAACGATTCGTCTGAAAACGAGTTGTCACGACCTGTAAAACGGACTCCCCTCATCGAGTCCTTCAGATGATTTGGGAGCTGGAACTTTTGGGTGAAAGCTCTCGAGGCTCTGATATGGCTGTGGGTCCTTCAACGCCCTGGTTTGCTCCAAAATGAACTGAATGGTTGACCTACAGTAGAGGACAATCTACCAGGGTGAATCAGGCTCCAGGTTTTGACCCACAGCCATATGCTTTGATTCTCTTCCAGACACCTACTCATAACGCCGGCATCAGCTGGGTGTCGTGCAAAACACTCGGACGGATTTCGGCAAAGCCAAAGGTTAAAACTTCGTTTCTTGGTTCCTGCCATGGTCACCGATGGCTTCGATGCCTATAGGAGACGTACCACCCTCCATTTGGTCACCCAGCAGAACTCTTAGTCTTGGGGTTCAACAACAACTTTTTGGAGATTGGTTGGAGGTGCTGATATGAGATTCTTACTCTTTCAGTGTGCTCAAGAGCCACAGCCCAGTCTATCAGTTTGGACATCCCCGAGAGCTAGTTACTGGCTACATTAGACTCATCAGACCTTGACTTGCAGGAACAGCACGGTGAAGAGTCAGCTCACTTGTATTGTTTTCAACAAACGCGTTAGCCCTGTACTGCATTAGCACTTTACACAAATGAAGGACAGTTAAAATTTCGCAGGTACGTTCCTAAGGCGTCCCTCAGGAATGTCACAGTCTCAAACCACCGTCTTCGTTGGGCAGTGGATGGAATGAGACTCGCTACCCCCCGGCAATCGGTACATATTCTGTACATCATGGAGTGGGGTTGCATTAGATCATTACTAGTAGGATGAATTAGCTTGCTGTGGTCTTTTCCTTGAAAGTGACACACACACACACACCACACACACATATAACATGTATATTAATATATATATATATATACAAACTCCTTCCCTGCGCGCACGCGCACCCTTACCACGGCAGCATGAGGCAAGCTTCCGGGCGGCCAGTATGGCACCTACGAGGACTGTGAAGGGTGGGACCCAGTGCGTGGAATGCCGTGAGAAAGGCCGACGTGAAGGGGTTGGGAAGGGCTCTAGAGAGCACACAGACCAGCGGACAGGTGATGTGTGATGTTGAAGGGGTATTGGAAAGGTCGAAATCATGTTGAGACCCAGCTATACCTGTCCGGGCACCACATGAGTGTGTATAGTACTAGGGAGACCCCTTGGCCCTGGTTGGGTAGACTGGTCTATTTCAACTTCCATCTAATACCCTTCTTCCAAAGGTCGGAACGCCTGGGAGCTCTTCCTATTGGACGCTACACACCTCGACCCACATGCCCCGGACATCGACTCGACCAATGACGACGGTTTCATTCGGTGCATCAGGTGCTGGTGGCTCCATCCCACCGGACACGGACCTGACCTTTGAGGCGGAGAGAAAACACGGTGGCGCCGGGAATGTTGGGAGGTTTCCCCGCCTCGAACGACCTGGGGTAGAGTGTGTCCCGTCCGTTTTCATCCGGTGAAAAAAGGGTTAAGACGGAAGCAGTTATCAAGGCCGATCACAACGTGGCTTTGCCTCCAGATGTCCTTGCTAGCATAGACTTTTATGTTTCAGGCTAGCTGAGGAAAAATTGTTGTTTCTTTACATCAAGATAGTGATTCTAGTGTAAGTTGTGTGGGGAAAATTGTGGAGGGCGCCTATATTTTATTGTATCTATATATATATATTGTGCCCACAAGCCTCAAGTTCGCCGCACAGTTATATAATAAGTGTTTGCCCTTGTATGTTGCGGAGTTGTATTTGCCAAATTAGGGCGAGCACTTGCTTGTGCTCTGGAAATTATACTCGCTTGTGCACCGGAAAGTATACTGGCTTATGCACTGGGTCCGTGTTCTACTTTTCAGAGCCTGTTGCCACCCTTCCCCCCACCCCCGTTGAATCTACTTTCACCTTCTCCTTTCTGAAAGTGCGCAAGTGAGTGGTGCGCAAGTGAGGTAAAGTGCGCAAGTGAAGTAATTTTCCAGTGCGCAAGTGAGTGCTTGGCCGCCAAATTATGTGCTATTTCTTCACATATATATAGGTACCCCCCCAAATGTATATTCTTTTTGTTTTGATTTGTATTTACCGTGTTTTATGCATATGTTTGGATATAAAAAAAAGTCCAACAAAAGACAAGGCACTTCCCTATTCAAAAACAACAGCAAATGAAAGCTAAGCAAAATAACAAAACCAAACAACAAAAAAACAACAAGCCAAAACGTTGAGGAGAATGTTTGGTTCAGCCTCAACAGATGTTTTTTGGTTTTCATTGTTGTTTGTTGTTTTGAAATCGAAAAACAAAAACATTGTGTTTTTGAATGTTTTTTGAAGGTTTATGGTTGAAGAAGACTATCAAAAAACCAAAAACACAAGTGTTTTTGGTGTTTGATGATTTGCTATGAGTAAAACCAAACATCAAATATTCAAAAACAAACAATGTTTTTTGTTGTTGACTGTATTCTAGTACAATAAACCTTCAAAACAAAAGAAACTTCAGTTTTTTGGGTTTTGGGGTTTCAAAACAAAACACCATGAAAACAAAAAAACATTTTTTGAGGCTGAACGAACCCCCAGCAAAACCCTCTCTCTAGAATAAAATCAAAATTAAATTGGAATTCAAGTTGCATTGAACTGGAAATAACGTTGCATTGAACTAGAATCGAACTAAGATCAAATTTCAATTGAGTCATTTAAATTGGTAATCAACATAGAATTAAACGCTCCCAGCTACAAGGCAACATCAAATAAAACCGCGCAAGCAAACCAACAAGGTAGACATTTTGGGGGGTAACATATATATATATTTATATTCAACATCACTTTGTGAACTCACCTGAACAAACGCATATGTTTTGGATTATCAGTTTCTGGATGTCTTGTGAAATGTACCGTGCCACGTCGTACCACGACAAAGACATGACCAGGGAATGGCAAGCAGTTTCAAGAAGCAGCCAGTTACCATCCTCCAGCTTCCCATGAGTGTGAAAACACTGAATCCCTATATTGTGTTCTCTCCTTTGGACCCGAGCTTTCACATGAAAAACTGTCAGGCTGCAAACTCAAGCTCACTCGCTCGTTCAGGCTGCGCACTTCTCGAAGCGCCGTTTGTACGCACCCGGTGTGCCGATTTCTTGAGGTCGAGCTGCTGAAGATTTCCGCCTTCTGAGAGGCACCGACACGCGACACCGCCCCACAAGTGGCACCGATACCGGAGAGGGGAGTCCTGCAGCACCTCGAAAAGACTCTGAAAACCTCTCCTTCTGCACCACTCTTGTGAAACAGTTCTTTCCGCAACGCGAAGGTGAAAGGTGGTGAAAGAAATGGTTCCAAATCCACCTCCCAAACCGTAAAGAGGAGGTCTCCCAGCCTGGAGGACAAGCGATGCAAGGACCTGTAGTGACTAGACACTCCAGCAAATGAATGGGGTTGGTTTCGAGTGCAATATAACTATATAACTATATATATATATATGCATTTTTATAGGCATTAATAGGCTATTTATGCATGGCTATATTTCAATCTATTACCTGAAGTGTTTGGTATTTTATGTTTAATGCGGGAAACATCAGATGAATTCATGAAAAGGATCATACTGGGGTGGTGCTGTGACTTCATCCCGCTCGCGTTTGCGCCGAACCAAAAGGGGCCGAAGGGTGATCAAGCCTCCAGGAGCGAGCTGTGTCTACCGCTGTGACCGATAGACATTGAAGACTGGCGAAGTGAACTGGGATTAATGGATTCCAGTACTAGACATGGACTCGGACTTGATTTCATGATATAAGATGCAATATGCATTGTAGTATGTTTCCGGGGTCAACGTGGACAACGTGGATATATTATAATTAACTACTGACTAGTCCAAAATTAAACTAGAGTGTATCGTGACAATATGTGATAATATAAATATTGTTGTCTATTTGTCACGATCTTTGGATGGTGCTGCGATTACATTCACAAACACGGCACTTCCGCCATCGTTCGTCGACCATCGGCAGCCTGGGACTGAAGGATGCAATCGGCCTAGTGAATCCCCGGCAGTCACTCTCCTAGTAGCGATGCCAGGAGCCCCTAGTAGCGATGCCCTTGCTCCTAGTAGCGAACATTGCTCCTGGTAGTACGGCCAGGAGCCCGGTTCGTAGCGTCCTATATACAAGTAACATCAAGGAACCACGGTTTCAAGCTCTATAGGTGGTTTGTTCATCGAAGTGGAACCGGATTCCTAGCGACATCGGAACCGGGAACTGCCTAGATCCTGGGTCATTCATCCACAGTGATTTCTGGAATCAGCAAGAATGCCTTTAAAGTCGTGGGTGACCCAGGAACTGCGGGATGTAGGATTGTGAGGACTTACTTGCATGCAGGATTTGTAGGCGATGCCAAGTTTTTCCTCAAAGTCACTGGCACGACAGGGGCATGACAGGAACTGCCTAAAAACAACAACGGCTGGGCTGGTGTCCCTCTTTTGTGCCGGTGCAGAAAGCTGGGTGGTGAGACCTTTCTCCGATTCCCATTTTCAGATAGGTACCTATCTGAGACTCAAACTATTTACTGTACCTCCCCGACCCCCCAAAATGGTCTGTTTGTGGTCTGCTCAGGTCAGTATGCCAGTCCCAGAGTCCCAGCATGTCAATATGCCTACACTCTGACTCACTAACATGGAAGTGGAAAATTGCCCCTTGGAAGACTACTTTCCTCTACAAACAGTGGGTTTTCCACTTCCATGTTAGATCATGTTAGTGAGTCGGAGTGTATTTAGAGTCTGGCTTTGTTTTCGCGCTTCGCTTCAGCCGTTTGTGGCTCACGAGACTGGGACATCATCCGCTCGACCATCCGCTTGCGCCAGCTGCTTCCCGCCTGCTGCTCGACGGCGGCGTGATGGCTGCCGCTGGTGGAAGACGTGAGATTGCTTTTCCAGACACTCCATGAATAGACCCTAGGGCTCCTGGCCTACCTCCGTTTCGAAGATGCTTGGGGGTGGATTTGCAGGGTTTAACCACCATGGTTCGAGCCTTAGGGAGACTAGGCTCTGGAGCTTCCAGCTGCGCGTCTGCCGAACTTCATCTATAAAACCAGCCAAAGGTTGGCAGACATGGAAGCGCAGTTGGAAGATCGAAGATCTATGCCTTCCACTTTGACCTCTGAAACAGCCTGAAACCACCCCAAATGTAGGTAACTATGTCAGTCCCATGGAGTGTTTGGGAGAGTACATGAGAGTACAAAGAGTCCCCACAGAGTCACTCCACATTCTGACCCGTCCTAATTGATTCTAACTATACCGTAGAATTTGTAGATCAATGAATCAATCCCGTTTCCCTATGACTTGCATCCAGCGCCACCTTTCGTCCCGTGCTGTGCAAAACCGCCCAGGTCATGTGCCCACAGACACCAAACCTTGACAACCTTGCCATGCTTGAGACCACGGAGGAGGCGACAGGGCTGGGCGTTGCGGGCGCCCGGAGAGGAAGTGAGATGTCCTGCCGTACATCGCTGCTCGCTGCCCCCCCACCATTTTTCGTTCGAACGTTCAGAACAGAAGGTGTTCCAGGGCAGGGCCAAAATAGAAATTAGATGATACTAGGCAGAATGTGAACAAATGAATCCTATACCTGGTTTTGCAGTGTTTTGCTTATGGTGATTTCTTACATTCCATATGAGTAATCTGCTTCTGGGGAATATGTTGTATTTTCCAGGTTCCGCAAATCCAAGTATAGCAGAACAGATCTCTCATTTTCGTGACTCATGAGCGGAACACATCGGATGACTTTTTTTTTATCCGCACTTGAAATAACAACGTGGGTGGGCGTGGCAAAGTCATGTTTTCACGTAGGTCTGTCGAGAGACCTGCTGGGTGTGCCTGATGGTCCCAATCAAGCGGATGAACCCATCACCTCTTCTAATTATATGATAGAATTATACATAGAACTTGTTCGATTTGTTTGTCAGTCGCAACATTGCTCAGCTGGTTGGTCCTTCTTCGGTTGAGTTTAGAGCGTTTCGACCCAAAAAATTGGTTATCAAATATTTCAATCAATCAGAGTTGGTGCCGGCAGTGCCAGGCCTGGAAGAGCAAGAAGAGGCGGGGTTCGGTGGTGTTCTGAAGACGCAAGGCAGGCAGATGTCCATTCTGAATGGGTATAGAACGATA